CATGGACTAGATTAGGACAGTGACTATCTCTGCTCTCAGGTAATCTGTACCATGGACTAGATTAGGACAGTGACTATCTCTGCTCTCAGGTAATCTGTAACATGGACTAGATTAGAACAGTAGCTATCTCTGCTCTCAGGTAATCTGTAACATGGATTAGATAAGGATAGTGACTAACACTGCTCTCAGGTAATCTGTTACATGGACTAGATTAGGACAGTGACTTTAACATGGACTAGATTAGGACAGTGACTATCTCTGCTCTCAGGTAATCTGTACCATGGACTAGATTAGGACAGTGACTATCTCTGCTCTCAGGTAATCTGTACCATGGACTAGATTAGGACAGTGACTTTCTCTGCTCTCAGGTAATCTGTAACATGGACTAGACTAGGACAGTGACTATCTCTGCTCTCAGGTAATCTGTAACATGCACTAGATAAGGATAGTGACTAAAACTGCTCTCAGGTAATCTGTAACATGGACTAGATTAGGACAGTGACTTTAACATGGACTAGATTAGGACAGTGGCTATCTCTGCTCTCAGGTAATCTGTAACATAGACTAGATTAGGACATTGACTTTAACATGGACTAGATTAGGACAGTGACTATCTCTGCTCTCAGGTAATCTGTAACGTGGGACTAGATTAGGACAGTGACTATCTCTGCTCTCAGGTAATCTGTTACATGGACTAGATTAGCACAGTGGCTATCTCTGCTCTCAGGTAATCTGTTACATTGACTAGATTAGGACAATGACTTTAACATGGACTAGAATAGGACAGTGACTATAACATGGACTATATTAGGACAGGGACTATCTCTACTCTCATGTAATCTGTAACATGAACTAGATAAGGCTAGTGACTAACACTGCTCTCAGGTAATCTGTAACATGGACTAGACTAGGACAGTGACTATCTCTGTTCTCAGGTAATCTTTAACATGGACTTTATTAGCACAGTGGCTATCTCCGCTCACAGGTAATCTGTAACATGGACTAGATTAGGACAGTGACTATCTCTGTTCTCAGGTAATCTGTATCATGGACTAGATTAGGACAGTGACTATCTCTGCTCTCAGGTAATCTGTACCATGGACTAGATTAGGATAGTGACTAACACTTCTCTCAGGTAATCTGTAACATGAACTAGATTAGTATAGTGACTAACACTGCTCTCAGGTAATCTGTAACATGGACTAGATTAGCACAGTGGCTATCTCTGCTCTCAGGTAATCTGTAACATGGACTAGATTAGGACAGTGACTATAACATGGACTAGATTAGGACAGTGGCTATCTCTGCTCTCAGGAAATCTGTAACATGGACTAGATTAGGACAGTGACTATCTCTGCTCTCAGGTAATCTGTACCATGGACTAGATTAGGACAGTGACTATCTCTGCTCTCAGGTAATATGGACTTGATTAGGACAGTGACTATCTCTGCTCTCAGGTAATCTGTAACATGAACTAGATAAGGCTAGTGACTAACACTGCCCTCAGGTAATCTGTAACATGTACTAGATTAGGACAGTGGCTATAATATGGACTAGATAAGGACAGTGACTATCACTGGTCTCAGGTAATCTGTAACATGGACTTTATTAGCACAGTGGCTATCTCTGCTCTCAGGTAACCTGTACCATGGACTAGATTAGGACAGTGACTATCTCTGTTCTCAGGTAATCTGTATCATGGACTAGATTAGCACAGTGGCTATCTCTGCTCTCAGGTAATCTGTACCATGGACTAGATTAGGATAGTGACTAACACTTCTCTCAGGTAATCTGTAACATGAACTAGATAAGGCTAGTGACTAACACTGCTCTCAGGTAATCTGTAACATGGACTAGATTAGGACAGTGACTATAACATGGACTAGATAAGGACAGTGACTATCACTGGTCTCAGGTAATCTGTAACATGGACTAGATTAGGACAGTGACTATCTCTGTTCTCAGGTAATCTGTACCATGGACTAGATTAGGACAGTGGTTATCTCTGTTCTCTGGTAATCTGTAACATGGACTATATTAGGACAGTGACTATCTCTGCTCTCAGGTAATCTGTACCATGGACTTGATTAGGACAGTGGTTATCTCTGTTCTCAGGTAATCTGTAACATGGACTAGATTAGGACAGTGACTATCTCTGTTCGCAGGTAATCTGTACCATGGACTAGATTAGGACAGTGGTTATCTCTGTTTTGTGGTAATCTGTAACATGGACTAGATTAGGAGAGTGACTAACACTGTTCTCGGGTAAGCTGTAACATGGACTATATTAGGACAGGGACTATCTCTACTCTCAGGTAATCTGCTATAACATGGACTATATTAGGACAGGGACTATCTCTGCTTCCAGGTAATCTGTAACATGGTCTAGATTAGGACTGTGGCTATCTCTGCTCTCAGGAAATCTGTAACATGGAATAAATTAGGACAGTGGCTATCTCTGCTCCCAGGTAATCTGTAACATGAACTAAACTAGGACAGTGGATATCTTTGCTCCCAGGTAATCTGTAACATGAACTAAACTAGGACAGTGGATATCTTTGCTCCCAGGTAATCTGTATCATGGACTAGATTAGCACAGTGGCTATCTCTGCTCTCAAGTAATCTGTACCATGGACTTGATTAGGACAGTGACTTTAACATGGACTAGATGAGGACAGTGACTAACACTTCGCTCAGGTAATCTGTATCATGGACTAGATTAGAACATTGACTAAATATGTACTAAAATGCAATCTGTAAAATGTGGACTAGATTAGGAGAATCTGTAACATGGACTTGATAAGGATAGTGACTATCTCTACTCTCAGGTAATCTGTCACACGGCCTACATTAGGACAGTGACTGACACTTCTCTCAGGTATTCTGTAACATGAACTAAACTAGGACAGTGGATATCTTTGCTCCCAGGTAATCTGTATCATGGACTAGATTAGCACAGTGGCTATCTCTGTTTTGTGGTAATCTGTAACATGAACTAAACTAGGACAGTGGATATCTTTGCTCCCAGGTAATCTGTATCATGGACTAGATTAGCACAGTGGCTATATCTGCTCTCAGGTAATATGGACTTTATTAGGACAGTGACTTTCTCTGCTCTCAGGTAATATGGAATAGATTAGGACAGTGTTTATCTCTGTTTTGTGGTAATCTGTAACATAGACTAGATTAGGACATTGACTAAATATGTACTAAAATGCAATCTGTAAAATGTGGACTAGATTAGGATAGTGACTAACACTTCACTCAGGTAATCTGTATCATGGACTAGATTAGCACAGTGGCTATATCTGCTCTCAGGTAATATGTAACATGGACTAGACTAGGACAGTGGCTATCTCTGTTTTGTGGTAATCTGTAACATAGACTAGATTAGGACATTGACTAAATATGTACTAAAATGCAATCTGTAAAATGTGGACTAGATTAGGAGAATCTGTAACATGGAGTAGATTAGGACAGTGGCTATCTCTGTTTTGTGGTAATCTGTAACATGGTCTAGATTAGGACAGTGGCTATCTCTGTTTTGTGGTAATCTGTAACATAGACTAGATTAGGACATTGACTAAATATGTACTAAAATGCAATCTGTAAAATGTGGACTAGATTAGCTATATTAGGACAGTGACTCACACTTCTCTCAGGTATTCTGTAACATGAACTAAACTAGGACAGTGGATATCTTTGCTCCCAGGTAATCTGTATCATGGACTAGATTAGAACATTGACTAAATATGTACTAAAATGCAATCTGTAACATGGAATAAATTAGGACAGTGGCTATCTCTGCTCTCAAGTAATCTGTACCATGGTCTAGATTAGGACTGTGGCTATCTCTGCTCTCAAGTAATCTGTACCATGGTCTAGATTAGGACTGTGGCTATCTCTGCTCCCAGGTAATCTGTAACATGGAATAAATTAGGACAGTGGCTATCTCTGTTTTGTGGTAATCTGTAACATAGACTAGATTAGGACATTGACTAAATATGTACTAAAATGCAATCTGTAACATGTGGACTAGATTAGCTATATTAGGACAGTGACTTTCTCTGCTCTCAGGTAATCTGGAACATGGACTAGATTAGGAAAGTGACTAACACTTCTCTCAGGTAATCTGGAACATGGACTAGATTACGACAGTGACTAACACTCCTCTCAGGTAATCTGTCACACGGCCTACATTAGGACAGTGACTGACACTTCTCTCAGGTAATCTGTAACATAGACTAGATTAGGACAGTGACTAACACTTCTCTCAGGTAATCTGTAACATGGACTAGATTAGGACATTGACTAAATATGTACTAAAATGCAATCTGTAAAATGTGGACTAGATTAGGACAGTGGTTAGTGCCACATAATTGATGGATTTATATTATGTCTTAATTAGGAAGTGGCTAATTGCTTTAACTGGCAATATGTAAAACTTTGACTAGATTAGGAGAGAGGCTATTTTTTCACAAAGGTGATCTGCAAAACATGAAACAAATTAGGACAGAGGTTGAAATTGCACAGGGTGTACAAAACCATGGACTGCATTAGGATAGGGTTGATGTCTAAACAATTAATCAGTACACAGAGGGATCTGTAAAATAAAGACTGGATAAAATGAGGCAATAACTCCACTAGTTTTATTTAATTGTATTTGACCAACCTTGTTCAGTAGTGTCCACCAGTCCTGACATTGAGGATCGGAGGCCAGCTGATGGGAAACCCTGAAGCACACTGATGACAGGAACTGGGCAAAAACGGGACAATGATAATTGTTATCACTTTAATTACATTAAATTAACAGAAGGTATATGATAAGGCACAATCCCCATGACATTCTGGAAATATAATCATGATATCAAATGAGGGACATAATGAATAATACATAGGTTATATACAACAAGTACTTATTTTGATTAATGTGTACAGTTCAGTCAACTTGGATAGTGTATTTTATACAATCAACAAATAGAGCTGTCACAATATATAAGAAAACCAGTACATAGCAATACACAGATATGGTATTATATCGTAATACAGAAATGAAATGTCACTGTATAGCAATATTTTTCATTTTTTTTTTAAATTCCAAAACAATTTAGTGTTTTAACTTTGTCAATTGCTACATAAGCTAATAGATATGCCAAATCCCATACACCGGCTTTTACAAGAGGTGTGAATTGGCTGAGATTTCATAATTGATGGTTGGTTTTAACAAAAAAGTCTTAAAATTCCATAAATTATATAGCATGCTATCTAAATGTTCTATACATACAGTATTATTGTATCATTGTTCTAAAATTTAACAAACTTGATATGGAAATAATTTTCATTTAAAGCATCCACTTATATGGATTCTTCATTACCTAGATACAGTTGCCAGGTCTGTGTTGCCAGCCCAAGAAGTAGTAATCCAGTTGCCTTGGAAACTAAGCCAAAGAGAATTAAGATTGAGTCTCGGGTGTTGAACTTGTATCGCAGCACAGGTAGCAGAGTTAGCACTGCCAGGCCACGACCAAAGTTTTCCCCAGCTTTGAAAAACCCATACCTCATCTGTGACCAATTAAACTGTGGCAGTTTTGTATACAGAAGAAGAATATCATTTTCTCCTGAAAATAAGGTTAAAGTTGAAATAATCTGTTATGATTGGTCCTAAATAATGTTGTTCAACAATTAAAGCGTGATTTTATCTATGATTATAAAACATTGGAATACCTTATTAGTTATGTCAGATCATCTGACTTCTGAAATGAATAAAATCAACTTGAAAAATATGGGATCTAGAAATTTTGTTTTCTTACAAATATACTGGTACTGGTTTATAGCATTTACTTTAGATCTGTCCGTTATTTATTTGTAAATTCAGGTTTACGTCTGTCATATATTTCACAAATCCTTTGAAAAATAAAAATAAAGAAGACAGTAAAATGAAGCCTGACAGTTTTACCTGATGTACAGATCATGAGGATCACTAGGACAAAGACCTCCAGAAACAGGTAAACAACAACATTGGGTGGTCGTCGCTTAGAAACAAAAATCCAAGAATCCTTACAAAAAAGTCTAGTGTATGACCAGATTGATGTGTATGTCTGCTCCAGTGATGGCCTGAGATTCTCCAGCACAAAGACAGTGTACAATAATGCCAGAAATTGTATCACACATATGAAAGAGAAGACAAAGTTAAAGCTTGTCTTGTCTATGATTATTCCAGATACTAACACTCCCACTGTCCCTGACAGAAATATCATGGCCTCTGCAACACCTACCCGACTCGTCCTGTTCTTAGAACTAGAGATGTGGCCTATGTAACTGTACACTGACATCATCAACCCTATAAATCCCCCAGTCATACCATTGATTACTTTACCAATGAGGATATACTTGATAGAAATGTCGGTGTGTGATGACACTATCAGGTTACACACAGTCAACAGCATGTTCCCAATGATTGTAAGCATCATCGGGATCTTCCGTCCCAAACGGTCCCCCCAGGGACCCAGAAACAGGGTAACAGAGATTACAGCAGGGACTGTGTATGCTACATTGTTGTACATTATCCAGCTAGACGCCTCCTTCTGAACCACATCTCCCTCCTCTTTCAGTGTATTGTTGCCGAGATTGTCACATATGTAGGTTGAATTGGAGAACTTTTCCAGACATACCCTTGTGTAGATCAGGTCCTGTGATACAGGAAACTCCAGGAAGGTAGCAAACATGTACAGGAAGAGAATGGGTTCTACCGTTGTCTGACGAAGCATGCCAGTCACTTGATTACAAAACGCTCCCATGGTGTTTGCTACAGCTGCCTTTCACCAGGAATGTGGATCTGCTTTAAAGATGAAATTACAATTAACACAAATAATAATTTAATTTTACCTTTTACAAGTGTACCAGCCACAGAATACCAGCATACCGGTACTTGCCAACTTTTTGAAATTTCCATGGGGGAGATTACGCGTGCTCAGAATTAAAACACAAGAGGCCCAATGGGCCTGCATCGCTCACCTGGTATGAATCTCACACTTGAAACCTTAAAAGTGATCTAAAATAAAGCTACAGGCAAAATATCAGTATCCATGATTAAAATTCATTCAAAAGAGCCTGTTATTTTTTTTAAAAAACATTTCACCCCTGTGATTGAAAGTCGAACAAAGTCATTATATTGAATAAATTTTATAGCCATTCATCTCAGGATGCAACTTGCAAAGTATCAACATCCTGGGACACATGGTTATTCAGAAGAGGTCATTTAAAGATTTTAAACAAATTTGACCCCTGTGACCTTGAATATAAGTCAAAGTCATTCACTTTAACAAACATAGTAGTCCTTGATCCCAGCATGCTACTGACTAAATACCAACATCCTGAGGGTTTTGGTTATTCGGAACATGTTCTTTAAATATTTTGAACTTATTTGCTCCTTGTGACCTTGAATATGATTCAAGGTCATACATTTAAACAAACTTGGTAGCCCTTGATCCAAGTATGCTACTGACTAAATATCATCACCCTGGGCATTTT